ACACATATTAGCTTACATAAACTCACTATATAAAAATTTATTTTTTACAGAGTTGAATCTGGTTTCACTGCAAATTAAGACTACCCTTTTAGTCCACACGTATCTTCTTTACAGCTGGCAGATTTACTGCAGGTGCAATACTTTCAGTCTTTCTGCATACAGGATAACTGACTTTGATCATGAATTCTGGTGCAGCTATTAAGTCATTAAATAAGCAGCTTCAATTTGTATGTCCTAGATTCCAAGAGAAGGGAGAAAATAACAGAAGTAGATACAGAAGGAAATTTTGTTTGGTTCTGTTTTTATACTTACTACTTTATTTATTTAGGCTTAAACATTAGAAATTATTTTTTCGTAGTGCTGGAGGCTTAAAGTCTGAGATTAGGATGGCAACACAGTCAAGTTCTGGTGAGGACTCTTTCTGGCTCGTAGACACAGGCCTTCTCACTGTCTTCACAAGGTTGGTTTTGTTTTTAACATCTAAGAGGACTTTCATCACATCTCTGGTAGTGATAATAAAGTAGCAGTATTTTTCTTATCATATTCTGTGTTCTAAAAACCACAATCAGCCAGAGACTAATTAACTGCACTACTAATGAAAACTTAGTAACACAAGGGCTGGTATTGTGACACAGAAGGTATGCTGCCCGAGATGCATCCAATATGAGTGCCCGTGTGTGTCCTGGCTGCTTTACTTCCTTCCGCCCCACCCAGAAACCTTTTATTTAAGGAATACAAACTTCATGCATTTTATAAGTAAAACTTCAGGAACACAGTGATTCTACACACCGTACCTGCCCTCCCACTCTGCTCCGCTTCCAATCCAGCTCCCTGCTAATGGACTGGGGAAAAGCAGGGGAAGAAGGCCCAGGTGATCAGGGCCCTACTACCCATGTGGGAGACCTGTAAGAAGCTCCTGGCTCCTGGCTTCAGCCTGACCCAGCACTGGCCACTGCGACCATCTGGGGAGTGAACCAATGGATAGAAGATCTCTCTCTCTCTCTGTCTCTCCCTCTCTCTCTGTAACTCTTTCAAATAAATAAATTAATAATAATAATAAAAAAAACTCAGCAACATAATTTGCAGGCAAATTTTTTCCTTCAGGGTGGCAAAGGAACTCTGGAGAAAAGTTGAACATTTTCTCATGATCCTCACTCCTCTGTGTTATTGTTCTTCCTCTACTCCCAAGTCAAGGCACCTAGGATTTCATATAGCCCACATAAGACTATTCTTCACAAAGCAGTGGACTCTGGTTCCTTTTTACTGGGCGATTCCAAATCTTGATGGGGGAAAAAGTGTGTGACAAAGGATAAAGGATCAAAGCGCAGGATCAGAGCAAAAAGGAGAAAAATTGCCTTCAAAAGACCAGAGAAAGCAGAAACTAGAGCTCAGTTACTCAGGAGGCTACAATTTTGTTTCTGTTTTTCTCCTATACTACATAATCCTTCTTTTGTGGATCCTCTTTCAAAGCAGTTGGACAGAGGTTGGTGATGTGGCGCAGTGGGTTAAACTGTTGCTTATGATTCCAGCATCCTATATTGGAGCTCCAGTTCAAGCCCAATTGCTCTGCTAATGATCTAGCTTCCTGCTAACGTGCATAGGAAGGCAGTGGATGGTAGCCCAGGTACTTGGGCTCCTGCCACCCATGTGGGAGACCAGAATGGAGTTTCTAGCTCCTGGCTTCAGCCTGGCCCAGGCCCAGCTTTTGCAGCCATTTGGGGAGTGAACCAGCAGATGGAAGATATTTTTCCTTCTATCCCTGTCTGAAACAACAACAACAAAAACAAAATGGGGTTTGATAAACAGATAAGCGAGTCCAGGGAAACCAAGGCCTATGCTAAAGGAGACTCAGCCCATTAAACATCTCCTGATTATCACACTTGACACACACATAGCCCATGCACTATAAATAATGTAAATAAATAAGAACATTAAATTCTTCATTAAAAGATGTGAATTTAACTGTTGGTATGCTGCAGGATTTACAACAAGTGAACTAACAGAACTGAGCCCTATTTTTCTAATCTATAAATATGAATAATACATCAGTAAGCTAACCTACTGCCATGAAATTTAAAGGGTGACAAATACTGCACATTGAGGTAACTTTTAAAATCACCGTTATGAAGGAAGTAAAATTCTTCATTGTAGACTGCCTCAAAAATCACATACAACAATCATGTTCTGACTTCTTTTAAAGAGTTACACTTAAGTAAGCATGCTTCAGGCACGTAAATGTAAAGCAGTTTTTAAGTCACTACATGAAAGATTTTCATAAAACTAAATGGCATGGTTGGCAGAAGCACAAGGGATCTCAGATGCAAAGTAAGGTGTTGGGTATATGTGCTAAACCTACAGATGAGCCTGATGTGTCAGCTTATATTCCATTCTAGAAGGACAGAACATCAGATTAAGAAGAGGGGCTGGGCTGGAGTCATAGCTCAATGTTCTTACCTTTTTTGTTGTTGTTCTTACCATTTAAATAGACACAAAAGTAGACCTGACACCTTACACAGCAACTGTGATGACCAAAGAAGACTGTACATAATAAAAAAAGTTTACACAGTCCAATCGTAGTTTGATTATGCAATAATAAATAATAAAGCTAATGCTATTCAAAATATATAGATCAAATTTTAGTTTCAGCAGTATGATAAGTAATCTACATCTTGTCTCCTAAAGTCTTACCTAATTCTACTATAGTAGAAAAAGCATAGGTTTGATATTTGAATGAGCCAAATCTGAAAAATAGCCAGGTTATCACAAGTGGCCAAGTGGCTGAGCTGAAATGTCTTCAAATAAGATTTAGGAATACTACTACTCACCTCATAGGATGAAGATTATTGTGATCATGGTCTGCATTGAACCTAATCTAGTGCCTACCATACTGTTAACTGCTCAATAGATAGCAGGTGTTATCTTGAGTGTCTGCTTAATCCTCCAAAGCAAGTACCCTTGTTTTTTTTTAGGAATACTTACAGTACATGTTCACACATGATTATCAAAAAATTTCAGCTGAGAAGTAGAAGGAAAGGAGTTCCCTAGGACAATTAATAGATCCTCAAATATGTCCCTGAAAGTAATATAAGATCAAAACCAGAGTTCAAAATCTATCCTCCCTATGCCTAGTCCCTTATTACATAATATGGGCAGTCAGGTGACTTAAAACTTCAAATATTCTTCCTTCAGCCTTTGGAATTCCTGAGGAAGGAGGTGACTTATATTCCAAGCGTTTACCTCTGAGAAGCAACTGTTCTAAGCCACACTATCTGCTGTCCCTTCCCTGGGGACAGGTGAGAAGAGCTCTCAGCTTAACTTGGGAAGCTAAAATAACTAAGGGGAGTAGATCAAGAGAGATCTAAGGCATTACATTTATCATAACTCCCAACTTAATATTTCAATTATATACTTCAGTCAGTCTTCACAGCCCTTTTCCTCAAACTGATTCCTTTCTTGCTCTAGAGTTCATAACTATGTTCACATTTGATCTGTGGGAGAAGGAAGGAAGGAGAGCGGGAAGGGGAAAACAGAAAGACAAGAAGGAAGTAAGGAAGGAAGGAGGGAGGAAGGAAGGAGGGAGGAAGGAGGGACGAAGGAAGGAGGGAGGAAGGAAGAAGGACAGAAAGAATGAGTAAAGGAATCTGTGAAAGGCCAGGCTAAGACTGAATCAGATCTTTCCCCCTTCCAGTTTAATATTCAGAAACTGTTCATTTTGTGTCTTTATCCAGCAGTGAACTGGCAGTACACAAATTAAGATTTGACACACTTCTTTTTCCCCACAAAACATTCATGTTTATAACTTTCCTCGTTGTCTATGCTCAGCTGCTGGCCAGCCTGAGTCACACATAATGACTGTCAACACAGAGAGTCTGACACACACCAAAGAACTAGTAGGAAGAGTCAGTGTGTCTGCACAAACACGTGCATGTGAGGATCTCCCCAGACAATCTCGCAAGACTCACAACATGGGAAGGTCTGAAGGCAGAGGAGGGCAGAGCAGGGTGGCCTGGGAGGAGGAGGATACAAAGCAAAGATCAGAATCTAGGAAGTGAAGTGAAGGGCTCTACAGAGTCTGCAGGAGGAACTGAGTCTACTGTTTACCAACCTGAGGGAAGAAAGAGGACTGGGCTAGCTAGGAAATGAAGGATGTTCAGGAAAAACTAAATCGGAAAGACTAAATGATCTCATCAAATTGAAACAAAATGACCCTCCTGCCTCAATTCTCTGACTTCGCTGTTTTTTCCAGGAAACTAAAAAAAAAAAAAAACAAACCACACACACACACACACACCAAAACACCACAGTTCTTTTTTTCAATGATTCTATTAACAAAGCAAATAAAGGAAATCTCTGCTAAAAATGTACCTTACCTACACTGAGTGATCTGAAAACGGAAATACTTCTTTCCCCATTTTGTAGTGGGTTCAAAACAGGGACAGGGAGGGGAGTAGCCAAGTTCTGCCTGAATATACTCTTTCACCTAAAGGCTTATTTTAAATTTGCCTCTCTCTGGTCGGCTGGCCCATTCTTACCTCTGTACGTCTGGATGTGATGAGCGGCTCTAACACCACGGAGAACTTAAGAGCTTATGCAAACGCGAGGCAGAGGCAAAGCCAGGATGCGATTTGGGTAGTGCTCTAATGCCCCCCATTGGGTGGTTAAAAATTCAAATAAGGTTTGAATTCTGACTGACAGTGCGATAGAAGAAAGAAAACAGCAAAGTTAAAAGAAGACCGTAGTGCCTAAGTTTGGCCTGAAAAATCACGAGAAGTGGATAAGTCCGTGCACGGGCAATCCGTTGGGAAAACGGGGGACACAGATAAAGAACTAACTAGACCAACACCTACCTATGGATTCTATCCGTGCTCCTTACGGGGTGCTACGCGAGAAGGAATCTATACGGAGGAATTCGGTTCCTCGCCCTAAGCAGCTCGAGTCGCGGGAAGGGGACTGCCAGCTTTCTAGGGGACGTGCAGCGCTAACGCTTCGCACACACTTACTTTCGTCCGGCCATTGATTTTGTAGTTGCCCAGCTTCCCGTTACAGTGGCGGATCAGGTCGTCCATGCTGCTCATCAGCAGCCCAATGGTTTCACAGCCGGGCTCCTTGCCCTCGATCCAGGTGATCTTATCGCCTCGGATGTCCTTGGACGAGTCGCTCTTCTGGCTCACCAGCTGGCCGTCCGTGAACTTGCCGGTGTCGTGCAGGGCGCGCACCTCATCGCCGATCTGCTGCCCCGTCTCCTTGCCCAAGAAGTCGTCCACGACACAGATGCCGTGCTTGTTCATGCAAGGCACGATGTACTCCAGCGCCAGCTTCAGCGCCGGCAGCGGCTTCGTCTTCCCGTTGCACCGCAGGCCTCCACCGTCACTAAGCCCCTCGCCAGGCGTGTTGCTCGGCGGGTACAGGTTCGCCTTCTCCTGGTACAGCGACGGGCGGGTCAGCGGCTCCTCCTTCCCGGGCTCCGCCTCGGCCGCCGCCGAGCCCTGTCGCCCGGGGTTCGCGCGAGGCGGGGACGCGGCTACGGCAGGGTTGGCCACGGACTTGGCCTTCGCCTTGGCCGCATCTCCGGCGGCCGGCCGGCCCGAAGCCTTGGCGGCGGCGGCGCTGTCCCGCCGCGCCGCTCCTTTCCTGGCCTCCCGGGCTCCGGCCCCACCGGCCCTGGGCGGCGGCGCGGCGGCGGGCGGCGAAGGGCCGGGGTGCTGGTGCGGGCCTGCTCCGTGGCCAGAGGCGCCCTCGCTGCCCTGGCACACGAGCTTGTGCTTCTTCCAGTCCTGGCGCTGGTGCTCCTTGCAGCAGTAGAAGGAGCTGCGGCAGCGGCCGCAGCGCAGCAGGTTCTCCATCTTCCCGCACAGCTCACAGTACTGCCGGTCCCGCTCGCTCGGGCTCGGCCCGCCAGGCCCGCCGCTGTCATTGGCCATGGTGGCGGCGGCGGTGGTCGAGTAGGAGAGGTGGTGGCCGGACTGCCTAGCCCAGGGCCGGGGAGCGGGGAGAGCGGCGGGGAACGTTACTGCGCCATGCACCCGCCGCCCCTCTCCTCAAACAGGCCGGCGCCCCTCGCCCTCGGCCAGGCCGCTTTCTCGTCCTTGGGGCCGGCCGCGCAGCGCCAGCGGCTGCTTCAGCGCCTCATCGCGCACGGGCAGAGGGTGTACGGCCTGCGTGGCGGACGAGGAGCTCCGCTCTGGGCGCGCTAGACCGGCAGCCTTCGGGGCCGCCGCCTCAGCATCCCGGGCGGCAGGGCCCAGCTTGTGGAGGAGCGCAGGGCGTGCGGGCGCCACTCGCTCTGCGCGCTCTGCACGTACACCACGGCCCCGCGGCGACCCGGGCGGGCGGCGCGCGAGGGCGGAGGGGGCGGAGAGAGGGCCGGGGGGAGGGCCGAGGGGGCGGTGGCCGCGCACACGCTTGGTCGCGGGCGCGGCGCCGCAGCCTTCTCCTGCGATCTCCGGCGCTCTGCGGGACGCGGCCTCGGCCTAGGCCTCGGCGGCGGGTCGCTCCCCGTCTCTCCGCCCCCTAGGCGGGCTCCGCGTCGGGGTGGGCGCCGGGGACACCGAGAGGCCGTCGCGCTGCCACCGCCCTCTGCGGTCCGCGAGAGGACGCCCGGCGGGCCGGCTCGCGAGCTCAGAGAGGAGGGGGCGGCGCGGGCTGTGCCTACACCTGCTGCGAGAGGGCGCGGGCCTCGAGAGGGTCGCGGAGTGGCAGACTCGTGATCATGGCTGCTGGCGTTGAGGCCGACTCGGGGTGTGCTAGGCGCGCTCGTAGACACTGGGTTGCAAGGTGTCCATTGCGAAGGAAACGGAAATTCATAGAAGTAAAGTAACTTGCCCAAGGTCACGCAGAACTGGGACTGAATCCAGGAATCAGACTTTGTTAGATTCCAAGGCTGTTTTTCCCATTACACCATGCAGCCTCTGCTTGAGGAAAGTCTGAAATGGTTAAAAACAAAAATAATTATTCTGGTGTTGATCCAAGCCCCTCTGTTCCATTTGAATCTAATTTAAAGGTACTGAATTTAAAAGCAAAAACTATTTAAATCCTGTGAAATCCTTCGAGTTCAAAACGTCGTGAAATTTTGGCTACAAAGTTAAATAAGTAATCGATGCTCATTCCAGTATCCATGTTCAGACTTTTTAAAATGCAAACTTCTGAAACTATTCCCGAGATGTGGATTTTGTGGTAAATGAGCATGACTACATTAACGACTTTCTACATTTGTGCTGATGAATACGATTCTTTGTTTTACAGAACACAGAAACCTTACCAGAAATAAGCCAAGGGTGTTTCTTCCTGCCTGCCATTTACTAAAAGCCCTGTGATACAAATTTTCACAGTCTTTACTGAACCCCCACTATTGGGAAAATGTGCTGGGTGTGTGTAACATCTGAACAGACAGCAGGCTACCTTCAGCAATCTTTGAGATAATAGCCAGTCTTACAAGAGCTACAGTAAGTCAAAAGCAGAAGCTATAAAATACTTTGTAGGACAATTAGAAAAAAACAGCTTGAATAAAAGCTTTCATCAACCATACAGAATTTGAAATTGTTATTAAATTCTGCTGCATACATAACTAGCATCCCAGGGATCCAATCTGGTGAAAGAGGACAGTAATTCCAATTAGCTTGTCTTTTAGGACCCTGAGATAAGTATTATACTCACAGCTTCAACTTCCAAACCAAATTAAAAACCTAACTGTAAAGAATTAAAGACACATAACAATCTCAGATGTGCATATAACTTTCCCAGAGCTTTATTAAATACTTAAAATGTAATTTTTCAGACTTCCTGGAAGGCAGCAGATGATGGCCCAAGTAGTTGGGCCCCTGCAGCCATGTGGGAGACCAAGAAGAAGCTCCTGGCTTTGGCCTGGCCCATCCCCGGCCCATCCTTGGTTGTTGTGGCCATTTGGGAAATGAAGCAGTGGGTAGAAAGATCTCCCTCTGTCTCTCCCTCTCTCCCTATCTCGGTAACTACCTTTTAAACAAATATATAAATATTTAAAAAATGAAAACTTACTTAAAAGAATACATGTCCATAACAAAACCTGTATGAGCTCGTTCTAATTAAGTCTACAACACCACAAATTAAAGTGTATGTACTGAATATAATCAATTATGACACTGATTAATGAAAGTTTTCATGAATAGTAGAGTCAAAAATAAAATCTTGATTTCAAGTATTAAGATTCGTGATTTCAGGATTCTTCCTTATTCAGGATTGATAATTTGTGGACTAATTTCAAAGTAGTGACATTTCACCATACCGTTTGCTAGCAGTGCACTAGTCAATGCAAGGTCATCAACAAGATTTTTAGTAGTTCATCAGCAGTTTCAAGTTAATCAAATATTATGAAGAAGATTCATACTGCCACACAGGAATTTATTTTATAAACCCTTATGTGGTATTTACCATGCTGTGCCAATCTCTAAGCATTTACAAGTACTAACTAATTTAATCTCATATGTTATAAAGTATGTTCTATAAATTGCTCATTTTGCAGAAGGTATAACAAATACAGAGTGAGGCAACGAACGTGCCTCCCAGTTCCTAAGATTCTATGGGCAGTAGCACTAGGTGGGTCACCTGATTCTCTGAGGTGAACAAAGCCTTGTGTCCTTCAAAGCCAGGAATTAGTGTTATTCATTCCTGCTCCCAACCTAATCAAGAGAAACTGTTCTAAAAACTGCTGGATGAGTTAAAGTCACAGCATTGTTATCTAGGTATCTCATCGATTTAGATTGAAGCTAACTAATTACCTATTTGGCTTCCTTTTACTCTTTTAGCAGTGTTTACTTCAACTATAAAGCAGTAGCCACTGTGAACCAATGGAAGACTTAGGTCGAGGCAAAGCTGTGTTTAAATGCAAGGACAGAGTTACGTGAGGAAATACATTAAAAAATGACTGTGTGGACTCTTGAGGAAAGCTCAGTGAACAGAATTTACCTAGAAGGACTAGCCCTATTTGTCTCTAAACATGTTAAAATTCACAATAGACTATCTTTTCTGCTTAGGAAATCAGACGTCTGATTGTTAACTAATGACCTTTTGTTTCCCCATCTGTGACCATCTTGTTTTAATACATTAGAGAGAAGAGAAAAATCGCAAGTGTAACATAGGCATTCCACCAAGATAAACAGGAAGACAATCTTTGAGTTCTGGGAAAAGCAACTAAAAATCTGAGCCATTTTCTAATGCTAGTATTGGGACACACATAAATAGGTGTCATTGTGAAACAGTACCTGCTTGTCTCTGGACTGGGGGTTCTGCCAGATGCCAAGTGAGCTCTGTGCTCCCCACGTACATGCAGCATGCTTTCCTTTCTGCTAAGATTGTTTTCTTATGAAATAACGCATTAAAATGTTCTATATAGTCAGGAAAATTTATCAATTATTGAACTTTATCCATTTATGATTTTAAAATTATCCACCAATCTAGGTTTAACAAAAGATCATCTCAAAAAATACAGCATAAAGCTTTAGTTCCGTTTCTCATTGTAATGAATTTTCAAATTGCTCACAAACATGACACTATTATGTGCTAATGTAATTACACTATGATTTTTTCCTAACAAATAGTACCCTAATGTTCGATCAATTTTTAGTGTAGTCATAATCAGTAAGTTAAACCAACCCAGGTTACAGACAGTTAATTTTTTTTTACATTTTCTTGTGGAAAAAGTTACACACAAAATAAAAATAATAATATAAGGAACTGCAACCTTGATAAGTTCAACAATTATCAACTTTTTACCATTTTTTCACTTTTGTTCCTTGTCCTACCTTTACTCTGTCTGCCTCCTCCTTTGTTCCTGATGAAATACTATAGAAAGTATATCCCAACTTCAATATTCAGGTCTGACAAGTGCTCTAAAAAAATCATGGTCACCATGCCATTACCAGATAAAATTAAGAAATATTTTCTCAATGCTATCCATTATCTATCATGTATTAAAAGTTGGATGTCTCCAAGATTCTCTGTACAATGGCTTTATTTAACTCAAGATCTAAACAAAGTCCATAAGTTATATTTAGTTTTCATATTTCAAAAGCCTCTTTCACTTGAATTTTACTAACAACTCACCATTTTTTTCATTCTGTTGACTTACTGGAGAACTAGACCATTTTACTGTAGAATGTTCTATATCTGGAATTTAGATAATTACTTCCTTATGATATTCCTGTTATTTCTGTAGTAGGTAGTTAGCTTTAGAACTTTGATTCATTTTCCATATTTTAGGTAAGAATACTTTATAGTGTTTGCTGTGTATTTCTTATTACATCGCATTATAAAGTACATACTTTCTGGTAGTCTCTGGGTTAAGTTTTATTTATTTTATTTGAGAGAGAGAGAGAAAGAGTGTGTGTGTGTCAGGTCTCCTAGTGGCAGGGAACAAAGTGTTGAGCCATCATCTGCTGCTTCCCAGGGTGCATTAGCAGGAAGCTGGATCAGAAGCAGAGGCAAAATTCAATCCTAGGAACCCTGATATAGGATGCAGGTAACTTGCTGTGCGTACCTGTTCAGGTAGTTGCCTTTTTAGTGATAAAATGTTGTTCATGGATCAAGTGGTATAAGCTTTATTCCTACATTGTAAAGTTTTCCATCAACTTTCCCCCAAGTTTGTTTGTTTGTTTTGTTTTTAGCAGCCACTGACAACTGTGACTGGATTCAATATTGCGTTAAAGATGACAAAATAATGAATTTCTAATTCTATCACTTCTAAATTTATTAAGCGGAATTTCAGCATAAATAATTTTTTTCCGATCAACTCTTTGGTTACTATGAAATAGTATTTGTGGATGAAAGGTAGGGTCTTTGCTTGTTTCTTTTATCAATTTTCAGAATAGTCAATTGGTTGCCCTAGCAATGTCTAATGAGGCTTTTAAAAAAATTATTGTGGAGGCCAATGTTGTGGTGCAGTAGGTTAGGCTGGGACATGTGATGCCGGCATCCCATGTTGTAGTGCCAGTTTGAGTCCTGGCTGCTCCGCTTCTGAATCAGCTTCCTGCCAGTGCACCTGGGAGGCAGCAGAGGATGACCCAAGTACTGGGACCCCAGCCACCGATGTGGGAGACCAGGGCAGAATTCCTGGCCCCTGGTTTTGACCTGACTCAGACCTTGCTGTTGTGGCTATTTGGACTGAACCAGTGGATGGAAGATCTCTTTTTCTCTCTGTCTCTCCCTCTCTGTCACCATGCCTTTCAAATAAATAAATCTTTAAAAAACACACAAAATAAAAATTTATTGTAAATGCATGGATTTTCATAAGTTTGATGTGTTTTAATTATTGTTTTGATATTCAAACCGTACCACT